TTACATTAGGCAACCTGAAGGCTTCATAATGCCAAGACAAGAAAATAAAGTATGTAAATTAATTAAGTCTCTGTATGGATAAAAACAAGCTCCCAAACAATAGATGTGTCTATAGCAAATTTGAAAATAATAAAGGAGTCATGATCTGTCTATATGTTGATGATATGCTAATAATGGGAACTAGTCTAAAGGTAGTAAAAGAAACAAAACAATTTCTAATGTCCAAATTTGATACCAAGGACTTGGGTGAGGGTGATGTAATTTTGGGGATTAAAATCCATAAACACTAAGGAAACTTTATTCTCTCCCAATAACATTATGTAGAGAGTATCCTTAGGAAATTTGGATGCTATGATTGTAAACCGGTTAAAACACCTTTTGACTGTAGTATTCACTTAAGGAAGCATGTAGAAGAACCTGTTTCACAAAAGGAATATGCAAGTATAATTGGATTTGTATCTTACTTAATAAACTGTACAAGACTGAACATAGCTATTGTTGTGGGAAAATTAAGTCAGCATAATCATAATCCCGGAAATGAACATTGGGAAGCTCTAGTAAGATTATTAAAATATTTAAAAGGAACCATAAATTTTGGTTTACACTACTCAGGTTTTCTTCCTGTTTTAGGGGGCTTTATTGATGCGAATTGGATTTCAAATTCAAAGGATAGTACTTCCACCAGTGGACATGTGTTTATTCTAGGTGGATGAGCAGTATCGTAAAAATTGGTAAGGTAGTCGTGCAATACAAGTTCAACAATGGAGGCTAAGTTCATTGCACTAGAATTGGTGGGGTTTGAGGCAGAGTGGCTAAAGAACTTGCTGGCAGATATACCACTTTGGCCGCGACTGGTTCCATCCATATCTCTCCATTGTGATATCCAAGCGACAATAGCCAGAACCAAGAACCAGACATACAATGGTAAAAGAAGGCACATCCGCTTAAGGCATAATCTGGTAAGACAATACCTCAGTGAAGGTACAATCGCTCTGGATTTTGTAAGGTCTGAAAAGAACCTTGCAGATTCGTTAACCAAACTACAGACTTCTAATGGGGCCGAAGCTCGTTACAAAGTCATTAGTGATGGACACCTAACCTATGTGAAAGGAGATCCCTAGAATTAGGTTGAATGGGTAAAAACGAGTCGCTAGATGACTTGAGAAAGCACTATCATTTATGTCCCATTTCAGATGTTGAGGTAAGATAGTACTCAATGCAGTTTGAGGAGGTTGAGCATGAGGCTCTTAATCAGTTAAGAATAGTGTGTGCAGTGCACACTAATAACTGACCTAAGTGAGTGTGAAGTGTGACCACTTCTAAGAGAGATCTAGGGCTGACTCTCTAAAACACTCATGATTCCAAGAGGGGAACAAGGCTTAAATGTTCCAAAATAAAAGAATCACTAAAGAACTGGTGAGTTGAGTTGGTTGGCCGATTAGCTAGTTACGACAAAGAGAAAAGGTTGAAGGAGTCTAACTCCACCCGTACTCTATAACATAGCCTATCATACCTAAATGTTGATTGAAGTCTAAAAGACATCATCATGAATACTTTTCTCATTGCGATGCTCAGATTGTTTGATATTTTTGTAATTTTGAATCTTGTGGGGGATTGTTGGAGGGAGTAGGGCTGTTCATAAGAATGCCCAACCCGACCAAACCGACTAACTCGGACTGACCCAACCCGAGCTGGCCGGGTTTTCATCAGCACGGGTCAGTTTTGGGTTGTGCAAATTCCTAAACTGATGATTCGGGTCGGTTTCGGTTTTCACACAAGAAAACCGAAACCGACCCAAACCGAACCGACTTAATTCTTAGTTCAAACATGAAGTTCCAAAGCCCATTAGGCCACCTAGTTTTTGAATGGTTGCTTGAAACTTTGGATTAGTGAATAGTGATTAATGAACAACTTTTGTGATTAACTTTTCATTTAAATTTTATCATAGGAGATGGCTGAAATGATGTTCAAGTTATGACTGTTTTTAAAATTAGCAAGATTTTATCACAGGGATGAACTTAGAACCGAAACCAACCGAAACCGACCCAACCCGACTCAAACCGACCAAGTCGGTTTTGCTTAACACTGGGTCAGTTTCTGTATGTCAGGTAACCCAACTAGGTCGGGTTGGTTGGAAAAACTGCAGTAAACCGACCCAACCCGACCCGTGAACAACCCTAGGAGGGAGATTCAAATTTTCAAGAATCTCTCTCCTCCCTCTTGTTTTTTGTCTTTTTCTCTTCCCACCCTTGAGTGCATGGGAAGACTCTTGTCCCACATTGCTTGGGAAAGGAGTGGAAGTTGAATATATTTGTAGTTTTGCTCTCTCTATGGGTAGGGACCCACAAGAGGAGAGCACTATATATATTCCATACATGTGAGGGGGGTTAGGGGTCCTTTTCACATGCACGCACCGAGCCGGGTCGAGGCGTGGGCATGGGTGCGCGAAGCACTGAATCTTTTTTGTTTAGCTGAATTAAAACTTTTCAATTTAAATTGTGTCTCTTCATTTCAAATTTAATTTTTTAAATCAGAAACATTTTCTTTTTCCGTGTCTCTTATTCCTCCTTGTGCTTCTTCAAACAGGTGCACTATTCTAAAGAGGCTCTTGTCTCTGTGTCCATTCAGATCTGAGAGCACTCTATAAGAAGAGTGCTGGCCGACCCAGTAGAACACAACATTTTCTTTCGACAGTCTTCTTCTCTGTAATCTGAGCATCATTGGAAAATACGGTTTTAAGGAGAGTGACTAAGTTGCACGACTCAGCCCTCCTTTTCCCTACAATTCTCAGTTCCGAGTTTCTGAAACAACATCACAGCAGTGCAACTTCGGTTTGGAAAGCGATTACCGATAAGTTCCATTCTACCTCTTTACTATTTCTACAACAATCCTTTTGAGATGGATGCCAAGAATAGCGTGATTTGAACTAGCTCAAATGCTATTGATGCCAAGGTTTAATTATTATTTGCATTGGCTAAGACTACACCTATCTCATGGTCCTAACCAGCATTGCACTAGAGGTGGAGAATGCTTAGATGGAATTTATAAGCAAGTGGTTGACCTGCTTAGTCTAATTATATTTTATTTTTTCATATAAAAAAAAGAATTTATTAAGAAAGGATTTTCGATTCAATTTTCCTGCTTCAATTCAGCTTTTTGGTTTTTTATGAGCACCCCTAGTTAAAAAGAAACTAGGGATGCTCACGGTTCGGTTATCCGAACCATGGGCCTTTTTTTGTAACCAAACCGATACTACCGGTTTTTGGACAACCAGTAATCGAAACCAAACCAAAGCCAACCGGTTAACCGGTTGACTGTCGGTTTGGTTCATCAGTTTTTTGGTTTTTTAATTTTTACAATATATATTATAAATATATATATTTATTTATTTATTAATTTATAATATATAACAATATAAAAATATAAAAATATATATAATATACATAAATATATATAATATATATAGAAATATATGTATACCGGTTGGTTCGGTTAACCACCAGTTTTCTATATTGGTTAACCGAAATCGAACCAACACTTTCGGTTTTTTTTAAAACATCGAATCGAAACCGAATTGACCAGTTCGGTTAACCAATTTTCCGATTTGGTTTTGGTCGATTTTTTCATTCGGTTTGGTTTTTTGTTTTTTTTTTGCTCACCCTTAGTTATTAGTTGTAATTAATTCTCATAAAATTACATGGTTGATGGGTTAGATGGGTTGGGTTGGGCTAAGACGGGTTTGGGTTGTAATCAATTCATATAGTTTTATTTAAATGAATCATTAACAGGTTGGTGGGTTAGATGGATTGGGTTGAAGTTAAACCCAAACCCAATCCCACCCAATTGATGGTATTGTAACATGTGGACCTAGATTGGTGGTACCCAAGGTTCAAAATTTTGCAACGTAGCGGGCTGATACGTATTGTTTTGATAAAGACTCAATACATGGAACATATACAAATCAATCCCCTCATTTCTTTTTGTTAGTATTAGGCCAATATAGGCCCGTATCGGACCAGGTGATACATTACCAATTAATAACTTCCTTTTCTTTTTTTGCTAATTTTTCTAATTAATTACTCTCCCTCTCATTAATTACTTTATTTACTCCCTTTTTCTCATTAACCTTTCTTTTGTTTCTAATATTTCTAATTAATTATTCTTCATCTATCTAATTAAATTGCTAATCCTCCTAATTAATTACTCTCCCTCTCCTAAATCCTAATTCACATAATTTTGGGTGTAAAAACTAAAATGGGCTATTAGAAGGTGTAAACCTTGATCACTAGCTTGTAATGACCATGAGTCCATCACCAAGTCCAAATCTATTTTGTTGTTTAAATTTTATGCATTTTGATCCTTAAATAAACATTTTTCTTTTTTAGTAGATGTTTGTAGGGGTGATTATGGGTTAGGTCAATCCTAAGTCCTTTATATATAAAATATTATATATATAAATATAATTTTTATATTAAATGTCATATAATACGCATATAATTTTTTTGATACATTGTAGAATATAAAATATTATATATAATACATATTATAAGTGTCACAATATAATATTTATATACAAACTATATAATTATATAACATAAATAACAAATACAAATACAAATACAAATACATAGATATTATATATAAAGTACATATGGGTTGGGTCGAGTCTAAACACAAAACTGTGTGTGTATTAACAAACATTAAGGCAAATTAGATTGATTTGTTGAAAATCAAAGTATATATGTACACATTTTAATTTTTTGTTATTTTTTAATGATTACTGATTGTATTTCATATCTCACACTTTATATAAATCATTAAAGTAAGTAGAGTAAATTTCTTAAACTACCGTTATCGTTTAACTAATTGACTAAGTGTACCCCTATTTGAAAATTGACTGATGCTAACAATTGATTAAATCTACTCTTATGATTTGCATCCATTAATATTCTATTAAATTCATATATAAGTGACATATATTTTTTTAAAAACCCAATTTTACCCTTACCGTTTTCTTCCTTTCAACAGCAAATAAGGAACCAGATCTGAGTAAGGTCCTTGACATACGGTTCTGGCTGTCTACTGTTGCATATGGAATTATCTGCTGCTGATATTCCAATTCCCCGAATTAGAATATTCGAACCTCCACCTGATCCAAGCAGGCAAGCTGCAAGCAGCACCTAAGAACTTCATTCATGCCGAGATAAGAATTCCAAAAATTCTTCTCGGACGTTGCACACTCTCAGTCGACACCAGAGAAATCGGAAACTAGAGAAAGAAGCTGAACTTTTCTTGTGTTAGCGTTCCCGCCAAAGCAAGTTCTTCCTCCCCCGAGCTACCTCCATCCTCTGCGTCCTCGAACGTCACCAACACAGCTGCCCCTCCTTACACATCATTTCTTCTCGATTTTTCCTCATCCCCTTTTCATCAAACACGTTTCCCACCTCCTAAGAGGTAGCTTATGCTTGTGTTCTGGTTCGGAATTCTTGACTGCTTCTTCTTCTTCTTCCGTGGCGGAAGATGAATCCGACATCGAATTGGGACGCCTATTGGCTCTATTGCCGGAGGAGATGCGACGGAGGGTAAGCGAACACCCGGAACTCCACCGCCTGATTGAGGTTGTAATGGATTTGGATCGGAAACCTTTGGCTCGGTTCCCCTCCAGCGACTTCGTCCTCTCTGATCAGACCCTGCAACAAAACCTTTAGCTTGGTTTAAAGGCCGTCAGCGACTGAAAGAGGGAGACAAAGAGAAGGAGGATCTTTGCAACAAAACCTGCATCAGACCCTGCAACCCATGGCGTGGTGGCATTGATGGACTTCTGCCAGAGGTAAGCTGGGATTTCGGAAACTCCTCGATCTGCACTGGAGGTCAATGCAAGATTGGAGCAACGGATTTGGTAGCAGTAGCCATGAAAGTTCCAGCGAATGTCCCTGCGGCAACGACAACTGTTACTGGGTTTATTACTCGGAACATCTTCTTCCCCTTCCAACCTTGTCAAAGCTTCCATGGGCTCATTTTCCCTCTTCTTGGAAAAGTAGCGACACCTCTCTTAGCACCAGCGACTGTGTTCACCTTGAATGTTGAAATCTTCCCCGCAACCCTTAGTATTCTTGACTGCACACCCCCTGTGTTCCGACCAGGTGACCCCAGTCTTTGAGGTCCGCCCCTATTCCTTCCTCTCCATCCTCCACCACCATCCATCGAAGCTTTCTAGCCGGTCTAGCCGGTCCACCCCCTGTGTTCCGACCAGGGCCTTGGGGATCTCGTGTGCTGCTCAAGGTCCCCCCATTTTAGGTTTTCTTCTACAACTCCAGTAAAATCCCACTGTTTCCGCAGTTCCGGTGACTTTTGCAGTTAGATTTTCTTCTACAACTCCACTGTTTCGGCAGTTACAGCGGTTCCAATGGTTACAACGAAGAAAATGAGGAGGTAGAGATCCAGTGGAGGGTAAAATAGTCTTTTTCACATCTATGTTATTATCAGAAATAGTAGGGATAACACTAGTCAATTTTCAAATAGTAGGGGCACTGTTTTCAAAACTGGACCGGACCGAAAAAACCGGGAACCGGTCCGTTTTCTTCTAAAACCGCTTTTTCCCCAAAACCATTGATTTTGGTTAGTAAACTGCTGAACTGGTTGGTTAACCTTTCGAACCATTCGAACGGTTTTGACCGTTTTCCAATTTTTTATTTTTTTGTCAGAATGGGCTGGTCGTTTGGGTCGAATGGTCAAACCGTTCAAACTGGTAACCGGACCCCTAACCAGTTCGGTCACCAGTTCGTTTTTAAAAACCATGAGTAGGGGTACCCTTAGTCAATTAGCTAATATATATATATATATATATATAACTCTTTTAGGATTTATTTAAGTTTTTTAAGATATCAAGCCTTTATGGGCGGGCTTTGGGCTGTTTGGAAGCACGAAAGCCTGAATTCTAGGCTTTTCCCGTTTGGCAATGGAAAGTTCTATTGGGAAAAAGCTCCAACCCACAAAAGATGCCAACAAACTGAAATTGGGCTTTTTCAAGAAGCTTCAAATGAAGCTTTTACAATCTTTTAGTGCTCCGTCTTCTTCGAATGTGTGGCACGATGTACACACTAGGGGAAAAATGGGTTATCTTTCCACAAAAAACTATTTGAATGTGTAAGTGCGACCTACCAATGGTATGTGGGGCCCACCTTGAAAAATGTACGTGGACCCCACATACATGTCTACACATGGACCCACATGCATGTTTACCAATAGCATGTGGGGCCCACATTGTAAAATGTATGTGGGCCCTACATGCATGTCCACCAATGGTATGTGGGGCCCACCTTGAAAATGTATATAGGCCCCACATACATGTCCACACATAGACCCCACATGCATGTCCACCAATGGTATGTCGGGCCCACCTTGTAAAATGTATGTGGGCCCCACATACATGTCCACCAATGGTATATGGGGCCCACCTTGAAAAATGTATGTGGGTCCCACATACACGTCCACACATGGACCCCACCTACATGTCTACCAATGGTATGTCGAGTCACCTTGTAAGATGTACGTGGGCCCCACATACATGTCCATCAATAGTATGTGGGGCCCACCTTGAAAAATGTATTTGGGTCCCACATACTTGTCCACTTATGGACCCCACCTATGTCTATCAATAGTATATTGGGCCCATCTTATAAAATGTACATAGGACCCACATACATGTCCACACATGGACCCCATGTCCATCAATGGTACGTCGGACCCACCTTGTAAAATATATGTGGGCCCCACATACATGTCCACCAATGGTATATAGGGCCACCTTAATAAATGCATGTATGTCCCACATGTTGTTAGCCCATACATAAGATATTAATATATACATAATACACATATTTTCATCACATTACCAAATGGTCTTCTAGCTTTTATGGTCTTTATTGAGACCTATGAAAAATATTTTAACCAAACAGTCTTAGGACTTTCAAGATCTATTTACAAAAGCTTACCCTCGTTCTTGTAACAGATCTCTGGGAAAAGACTTGCCAAACAGGCACTTGGTTTTTCGTCCATATCTATGCCTATCTATATAAATTGATTAGTTATCCGTATCTATGCAAAGTATAGTATGATAGTTATCTTAAAATTGATTTTTCGATACACTTTATTTGCTATATATAATTTGAACCTTTATCGGTAGCACAGGAACGTCCAAAAAACACCTCGTGAAACGATGCCAAACAGGGCCTTAAATTCCTTAAATTTTGATTCTAGTAGAATTGCCCTTTTCTTGGTTAGGATACGGAACTACGGATTCTGTCCACTGCGTGACCCCGAATCATCATTGTCTTCTATTTCTGCCTGCTAGCACTAAACGTGGACGATATAGCAGTCATCGAAATCCGCGGTTCGCAAGCTAAAGGGGCTAATCGGTCATTCCATTATTATTTTCTTAACTACTGAAGTTTTGGATTGAAGAGTTCAGGAGTGAATAGTTCGCAAGCTAAAGGATCCTCATGCTTCATTTTGAATTTCTGGTTTTCGTCTGCCTTTATTTTCAATCTTAAATTCGTGACTGTAGTCTGCAAGCTCGGTAAGCTCCACTTTGTAAGACAATTTAATGTAGCTTAAGGGAGCCTTTAGTTTTGGTATATAGTAGGCATGTTTCTGTCGCTCTTTTTACCGTTGAATACTTTTTGGTAATATCTTTACTGTTAAGTTAAGTGGATCATAATTTATTTCAAAGTTTACACAGGAAGTAATCGAATTTACACAACTTCCCTTTTCACCGTTTGATTGACAACATATTTAACCTATCTGGAATGAAATAATTTCATTTTAAGTCTTTGCTAAACGTGTGGTTCCTATTTTAATTGACAAGACTAATTACTTGTTTGATTGACAAGACTAATTACTTGTTTGTTTTTGAAAGAATTTAAACGTGTGGTTCCTATTTTAAATTAATACTAGTAATATGTTGAGATATGAAAGAAGAAATTGAGATGGGTTTTCAGGCAATAACTGAATTATGGTGTGGCAGAAAACTCACATCAATATTTCTCGCAAATACTGTTGACATATGTTTGCTGATTGAAGTTAACCGGCACTTAAACTCATTAAAATTTCTTATTCTCTGAAAAGATATGGATGCTTATTTTCATTCTTCAATTGTATAACTACATTATTGTTGACATAACCGCATTAAAATTATGCTCTTCGGATTCTAAATATCTGGAAGAGGGTTTTTTTATGGTGCATTCTTCTTGTATCAGGGATTTCCAATTCAAGGTGATCTGAATTGCCATGGAAAGCAAGGAGGACAGTGAAGTACACAACTGTGTTATGAAGCTGGTTAGTTAGGCTGTTTATTTTTTATTTGACACTAGGTAGTTTAATATTTTCCCAGGAGGAAAATTCATTGCATTTCCAAACCTTGCAGAGGGAGAATCCTCAGAGACACAAGGAAAAAGTTTATATTGGCTGTGGGGCTGGGTTTGCAGGTGACAGGCCATTGACAGCTCTCAAACTTCTTCAGAAAGTTGAAGAGCTAGACTATCTTGTACTTGAATGTCTGGCAGAGCGCACCCTGTCTGATTGTTACCAACTTATGATATCCGGTGGCGTTGGTTATGATTCTCGGAGTACGTTGCTTATCTTTGTTTTTGTTATGTTTTGCCCAAACAAAATATTTCATCCTCACCGATCATTCCTTTTCTTATTTGTTTTTCTCTTTGCCCTCCTTTATCTCTAATTTTCCTAAATCCTTCAAACTTTACTACAAAGATACATAAAACACTCAGGGCCTGTTCATTTGCTCTGAAGTCTGACATCTGAAAGTGCAATAATTACATTAAGAGGTATATTGGTATGGGTGAACTTTTCTTTCCTCTGAACTCTGAATGCAGAGAATGTTGTTCTGAATTTTGAAAATTATCAAATATCTGTTTTAACCCCATATATGAGACTTTTGTTTGTCTTTTTGGGGGTATCATTGGAAAACAAAAAAGTTGTATGATTGCACTTTAAGAGATAAGAGGAAATGAACAATCATTTTTCTCTTAAAGTTAAAAGATTCCTCTTAAGAGATAAGAGTTAAGAGGAAACGAATAGGCCCTCACAGATTCAGTGATTCACACACATGAGGAACACTCAAGTTTTGCCTATAATTATAAGTGACTATCTTCCCTTCCCCAATTCATACTCAAATGACATTTGTAAAGAAAGGTCACTGCATCTGCTCCCACTTAGAATATATCATAGATCAAAGATAATCTTGTTTGAATGATTCTAACCCTCTGATGTGTAGATTTTTGTCTGGAATTCTTGCCAAATTTATGTGAGACCACAAGATTGTGATGAATCAGGTTGTTAGGAAATCCAACCAGAACTATTCTTACTGTTATTATTCTTATTATTTTCTTTGATGGTTTAGATCCTTTTTAATGTGCTTTATGCGTAGTGCACATATTGTGGCAGTTGTGCCTGGGTGTGATAGTCGGGGCATATGTTTGTGGTGTTCACTTCAGGGCTTAAAGGACCTAGGTGTGGCGTATCAGTTCTACTGGCATTGTAATAAGTGCTTGTCAGCATGAAGGCATTTTATAAAGTTTATCAGCATGTGTAGAAATTAGAAAAAGGTTCTCTAATCAGGTCAATGAGGGAGACTCACTAGATAATTCCAGCTGTTGGCACTTTGGTACCACTCAAAGAACTTTGTGGCCAATCTGACCATCCACCAAATAGAGGACTCTTTGTATTCAATTCCCTGGTCCACATCAGTTCAATACTGCACCTTGAATAGGATTTTTGCCCAATTAAGAATTTCAGTACAAACTTTCAATTTTTTCTTTAGTTTAAAATATTAATACAAAGAAAGCTTTAAATTAAACATGAGGCAAGGCATTTTTTGAAATTTCTTTTTCATGAATACTGGGGAGTCAGGGAGAGGAGCAAAGGTCCTTTGTCCGTCTTTAAGATACCTTCTAGGGAAGCTAAGAGAATAGAAAAACTGATGAGAGATTTCTTGTGGGAGCTAGGGGAAGAGAAAAGAATCATTTGATTAGGTGGGGGGTGGTGAGTTGAAGTAAGGACAAAGGGGGTTTAGGGTTAAGGAACCTAGTTAATAAGAATGAATCTCTTTTAGGCAAATGGCTTTGGAAGTGGCCTTTGGAAAGAGAGAGGTTGTGAAATGAAGTGGTGGCTAGTATCCATGGCTGTTCTGAAACTGATTGGGATGTTGGAGTATCTTTGACGGGTTTTACTGACAACACCTTGGAAGGCAATTTCAGGCATCCTCCCTAAATTCCTCAGGTAGGTAAGGTATGATGTTTGCTTAGGTAATTCTGTTTTCTTTTAAGAAGAGGTTTGGGTGGGCACTCAACCTCTAAAGACCTTTTCCCTTCCCTTTATTCTATTTCCCTCTATAAGAAGGAGCTTGTTTCTAGGTTCCTTTCTCCTCTAGTTCTCTCGTTGTCTTTAAATTGGGATTTTGAATTTTGTAGAGGTTTGAGGGATGAGGAATTTGTTTATGTTTTTGAGCTTTTACTTCTATTGGATTTTGTTTGTCTAGACCCCCTTAAACTTGATAGTAGAATTTAGACTTTGGTTCCGAGTGGCTCTTTTACTTGTGCCTCCTTCAATTCTCTTTGCTCTACTCTATCCCCTTGGGTATTCCTAGTTAAAGAAATTTGGTCAAGGCCTTTCCCCCCTAAAATAGTTGTTTTTGTTGGAAAGTTTATTATGGTAAAATAAATAGTTTTGATAACCTGCAAAAGAAGAGACCTTATATGTGTTTGTTCCCAAATTGGTGTACAATGTGTAAAGTGCGTAATGAGGACCGTTACCACTTATTGATATCTTGCTCCTTTGCTCCAGATTTTTGGAATTAGTTTTATGTTGTTTGGGTGCATGTGGAACTTGCCTTCTGAAGTAAATTTGCTTTTTCATCCATCTACTTTTGGGTGGGCAACGAAGAGAGGGAAGCTAATGTGGAAATATATCAGAGTAACTGTTTTATGGACTATCTGAGAGGAAAGGAACGCCGGTATATTCCTAGAAAAGAAAAGAATCCTTGTTGAAGTAAAGGAGTGTATCTTGAAAAGGGCAATTCTTTGGCTGAAAGCTTCAGATCTCTTTGTGGATTATTCTTGTGATGATCTTTGAAGGAGTTGGGTAGTGGTGGCTTCCACAACCTCCAAGAAGAACAAAATACGAGCTAGGTGGTTACCCCCTCTGGAGGGTGTTGTAAAGCTGAACTTTGATGGGAGTAGTCAAGGCAACCCAGGACCTTTGGATATGGGAGGGATCTTGAGGGAGAAGGATAGCAACATTCTTTCCTTATTTTCAGTTCCAGTGGGAGTTGAAGACTCAACAAGGGCTGAGACATTAGCTGGTGTACAAGGATTACAAATTGCCAACCAACTTGGAGTGGAGAATTTGTTAGTCGAAGGAGACTCTAAGGTGGTAGTGGGTTGGTTGTTGAACCCGGATACTATTATTTGGGGCTATAGGGATCTTCTTAAAAGTTAAAAAAGTTAAATGGATTACAAGGAATATGTCAGTTAGTTTTCAGTGGGTTAGCAGATTTGCAAATGTCTTGGAAGATTATTTGGCTAAACAAGGGGATTCTCGGGTTTCTTTGTACTGGGCTAACTTACAAATTGCATTTTGATAAGGGTTTGGGTTTGTAGTCATCCCTAAGGGGAGGTAACATCTCATGCCTCCTCCTAGGGTGATTGTACTCTTTTTTCCTCTCTTTAACAAAATTACTATTCATTCATAAAAAAAAGGAAAAGTCATCCATGATGCCTCAGGTCTAAGGATCATCTACACAATTGTGATGATAAAACTGCTATTGGCACAAGATTCCATGTAACTGTTCTATTAATGGGTCAAGTTTAGTAAACTTGTTCTCTAACAAGAACCCACATATTGGGTTTTCGTATGACGTTTGTTTTAGAAACTCTATTTGGTTTTGGGAGGATATTTGTGTCAGAGATACCCCTTTAAAGGACCTTTTTCCTTTGTTATTCTATGTCTCTTTGTATAAAAAAGAGGTTATTTCAAATTTTCTATCACCTTTTGGAGCTCCCTTGGCTCCGGACTGGGCTCTCTGGAATTGGGGGGGGGGGGTCTAAGAAATGAGTTTGGAGAGGTTGTATTTTACTTGGGTCCTTTGGGATTTGGGGATTCTGTTAGGGCAGAAATACTAGCTACTTTACAAGGAGTGCAATTTGCAAATCAATTGGTGTAGAGCACCTACTTATTGGAGGGGATTCCAAGGTGTTGGTGTAGTCGTTGAAGAACCCCCAAGATGCTATGTGGTGCCATAAGAATGAAATCAAGAAATTTAAGTGGATGACAAGGAATATGTCTATAACTATACAATAGATGGGGAGATCAACAAATGCATTGGCTGATGGCTTAGCCAAGCATGGGGCAAAAAGGGAAGTTTTGTTTTGGTCTCGGCTGTAATGTTTGTTTCTTTTTTTCTAGTTTCCTTGTAATATGTTGGGAGAGGCTGCAGCTCGTGCTTCTCCAAGGGCTGCTGTATGAGCTTAAAGTTTATTTTTATTCATAAAAGAAGAACACCCACATATTTGCTTCAGTGTCTCCACACAAGTGACTTGATATTCATTACCGCTGAATGCAAGCATAATATGTGGCAGTCTATCCAGATTATCGAAGTCCTCTTGACAATCCTCTGACCAGGAACTGTTTAAGGATCTTGTACCAAGAAAAGTGTAGCTCAAATTCTTATCATCTTAAGAATATACCATCTTGACATGGATACCAAGGACTATTCATGTAATTATAAAAGAAAATACATGAATAATAAAAATTCCCATTTATCAAAAAATTGTGTTTAGGACATATGACTAATAATTACTACCAAACTGTAATTGAAATACATGTATTTATGTTGTTTACAGTAGGCATATTCAATTTGTTGTCCACATGGTTGTATGCACTTTTTTTGAACCGAGAGGTCAAATGCAACAGATAAATTACCCAAGTATAGGGGTGCAACTTTTCCAGGTTAGGGTTGGGATTTTGTCAAAATTTCAATTGGTCCAATCCGAAACCCGAGCCCGAAACAGTGTAAACTGTTAACTTGGGCCAACCCGACTTGCACCCCTAAGTATAGCATCATTTTTCCCTATTTGTGCTTCATTTTATTTGTTCATATTGATTTTGAACGACTTTGCAGTATCAGAATGGATGTCTTTGCTTCTACCTTTGGCAGTGGAGAGAAAAACTTGTATAATTACCAACATGGGTGCAAGTAAGAAACCAAGAATATCTAATCATTTACCATTCTGCAAAACTATATGCTTTGTTTTACACTGACATGCTCCATTTCTGCATGTAAATATCTACTTGTGGAAAGTGGATCCCCTTGGTGCACAGGAAAAAGTCTTAGACATAGCTAGTAGACTGGGGCTCAATGTATGTGTTGCTGTGGCTCATGAAGTTGCTTTATCAAAATCAGGTATTCTCTTAATATTTCTTGAAGATTTTTTTTCTTATTTCTCTTAGATAATGTTATCTGTTGATATAACCAAAAACCAACAAGTGCTTATGATAGAAGGGTTACTTCAAATTTGCTAATATGTTTCATGATTGAGGTCCTTACTCAACAATTCTTCAATCATGGAAGGTGTAAGAATTTGATACTCTTGGGTGCACTTTTTGATGACTTCTATTATTTCTTTAATGTGATTTATGGGTTTTTGGTTACACAAATGCATAGAAATGCCCTCCAAAAGCACCTTTGCAGGAGAGGGTGCATTCATGGCACCATGCATATGTTATTGTTTTACTGTTGGACAATTTCTGGAGTAATCACATATTTTATTTTATGTTGTTACTTGTTACTATTATCTATTTTTGTTTATACGTACAAATGCATCTTTATTTTTCAGAAGAGCGCATTATCAAAAAAATTCTGGTCTAATATCTCCTTCTAATACTTGAAAGGTGTAAGCACATACCTGGGTTCAGCTCCTATTGTTCAGTGTTTGGAGAGGTACAAACCACATGTTATAATCACTTCCCGAGTTGCTGATGCAGCCTTATTCTTAGGCCCAATGGTATGGGGAATTCCTTCTTATCTTCACCATTAGTTCTCATTCCTTATTCTGTGGGCATCTATAGACCTTGTTGGTGATGCCTTATCATGGGGAGTCTGTATTGTTTTTCCATATTAATGAGAGTTTTCTTCTTTACACTTTGATGGGATTTTTTTCTAATGTTCGGTTTTGGAGGATATGCTTATGCGTAAAAAAAGAAAGATACTTTTCTTTTTTTGTATCAGGTGTAGTATTGTTTGCCTTTAGGTGCTTTTGGCATTGGTCCATCTTAATAACTAGACTCTGTTCATTTATAGTGTTCAACAGCTAAGAGGTATTGATTGTTCTTTCATATTTAGTTGTCTTGGATCGACTCACAAGCATCATTAATTGAAAAATCCTGGAAACTTTATTCATTTGTTCAAAATCACACATTCTTTTTCTTTGCCTGATGGTTATCATGGCAAGGTTCTAGCTAATTCCTGAATTTGTCTTCAAAATGCAAATTATCTACTGACTTGGCTCTAAAAGTTGAATAGACAATGTATCTGGATTGTTTGGTGGAGATTTTATGTATGCAAACAAGACAATGGTGCAGAAAAGTTTGTTATAGTTTCAAGATGTCAGGATAGGTACATTAAATGAAAGTGGCTACAAATAGATGTGTACCAAGGTTGATACTCCAAGTCATCTAGGATGCCATTTTGAAAGTTAAAGGGGGAATTTAAACCTATATTTGGAATCAACTAACATTGTTGCTGATTAAAAAGGAAAATAACTCCAGAATTGAACTATTTTCTTAAATAAAAAGTAGGTACTATTTATGTGTATATATGAAGCCTATATGCATTTGTGTTTACTGCAGTGTTGCATGGACTCTCCTAAGTGGATGAAGTGTCTGTGCTGGACATGCATCAGACTCCAGCACTATGAATTCTTGAAAAACATTTCTGTGACATTTCCCTTTTTCTCCTTGCTTTTTCAACATAAATGAACAGTTAATGTACACAATGAATGCCATTTTTCCTATTGTAACAAAATCTTTTAGACCCATTTCTATAGGTTTATAATGTTAAGATTAAAAAGGGACTACTTATACTTTTCTATAGAGAAGTCCTTGTTTCTTCACCTTGCCAAGTCAGACTCCTGGCCATGCATCGGATTTTGATTCCAGTGTCCTTATCCACACACCTGGTTTACTGTGATGCAATTGTACAACTTATTGTAGGTGAACAATCCAGATAATGTAGTTTATTTATGATTAGGTGTATGAATTGGGTTGGAATTGGGATGACTTGTATATGCTAGCACAAGGGTCTCTGGCTGGTCATCTTCTGGAGTGTGGGTGCCAACTCACAGGAGGATACTTTATGCATCCAGGTGAGCTGTTTAGAATAATCTTGTACTGGCATTTCCAATTGGTCTCTGATGTAGACTTAAAACTGCTTGAGTTCATATATTTTTACTTTTTTTGATGATAATTCATATGTTATTATTTAATTCATCCACACCGATCTTGGTTTTTTATCATTGCAGAAATACCGTTTTGCCATTGTCACCACTGACTGTGTAAACTGCATTTCAGGAGATAAACACCGAGATATGTCTTTTCAGAATCTTTTGGATTTGTCTCTTCCTTTTGCTGAAGTTGGTTTTGATGGAAGAATCTGTGTGGCAAAGGCAGATGGCAGTGGAGGGTTTATAAATTTTAGTACTTGTGCAGAACAACTTCTTTATGAGGTTGGAGATCCTGCTGCTTATGTTACTCCTGATGTGGTAGGCATGCATATTGATTTATTTTTTATTGATATAAGCTGAAAGAAATATTAACCATCATACTGAAAGCAGGTTATAGATTTTCGAGATGTTTCCTTCCAGTCGTTGACAAGGAATAGGGTTCTCTGCACTGGAGTAAGGCCATCTGATCAACATGTTCCTGATAAACTTTTACAATTGGTTCCAAAGGTAGCATCTTTTTTAATTATTTTTAATCTCTACTAAAACAAAATTGAGTTTAGAATGAGATATTACTTCCATTTTTATTAATCTTTTGGTTATAAGGTTTTAATTATACCCACAGTTTAAAAAATTGTTGTGTTTGAATTGGCCAAATTTGTGATAATGCCTTCTCCAACAGAAATAATTCACGTAATAGAAAAATCATATACTCTCAGTTGAAGTGTCTGTGTTATTTCTGTCAGTTGACTATGGCTTTCTTTTCTAGTACTAAAATTATAGATTTTTTGAATTTAAAGGTTTAAATAAGATTAATATTTATTGATATAGATATAGACCTTAAATCCATATAAAATATTCTGATCTTATGGTCTTACAAATGGTTTAGAGACATGGCTATATGTTTTGATCTATTTTGTCATGTCATTTATTTGGGGATCAGGTCCATCATTCTCTTTATCTTGGGGATAGCATGATCAAGGATCCACAATCAATTCTCATATATATGCATGCCATGTTTGTACTGAAATGTTCTATAATTCTATTATTAATTAATTTATTCCACTAAATATTTCAATGAATGTTTTTGGCATGGTGTCTATGGGTAGTGCCCTTGTTATGGATGCATTCCTCGGGAAGACGTACCATTGCCGCCGGCAGAAACAGGCACCTGACCCACCGCCAGCAGCAACAGTGATTCAATGATTCTCATCCTACCCAGTTCGGCAACAACAACCTTATCTAGATTAGATTAGATCATCTTGCTTGTTCTTATCTTATTGTTCTTATCTTATTCTATTGCTCCTATCTTATCTTGTTAGTAGATTATCAGATTAGGATTAGCTTATCTTATTCTTAGCAAGATAAAATTGGAATTCTCCCTATTCAGCAAGGAGACTCCCTAAGATTAGGACTCTTGTAATCTCCTATTTAAGGAGACACCATTATTGAATGAGGATATCGAATATTCAGTTAAAGAAGTGAGTTAGGAGAGTTGGTGATCTCTTGGACAAATCACCAGAGGCGCCAAGATAGGTTCATCAAGAGCAGGAAGGAACAAGGGAAAACAGGAGGTTTTTTCCGTGGACTGACTTGTGACGAGATCCTATTCCTGGGCCCTCAACAACTTGGTATCAGAGCAAGGTGTCATGGGAGATCTGGAGCAGCTACCATCCAGGGTCCACGACCTCGAGCACCAACTCGTGGAGACCAGCTCCGAAGTCCGTGAGATCAAAGACAAAGTGATGGAGCTGCGACGCTTGATGGAGCTATTCCTTTCTAGCAGGGAAGGGAACTCTGAAGGAGGGACAGCCGCTAACGGCTGCCGACTAGATCTTCCAGAGTCTTCCGGCGAACAGCAATCCGTTAGCCAAAGAACCGCAGTCATCGTACAACGGCAACGGAGACCCTTAGGCTAGCTGTATCGCTGCGAGCAGTTTTTTCGGAATCAATGGACAGATGACCGGGATAAGGTAAGTCTAGCCGCCTTTCACTTAACAGAGGAAGCACAACTTTGGTTTTATCGGTTAGAGCAAGAAGAACCCGGGCTCAGTTGGCCCCAGTTTAAGTCCTATTGCCTTCTTAGGTT